CCCCCCCCCCCAGATCTGCCCTTGCCAGTGGACCAGATTCAACACACCAGCAACTGCATCCAACCCATGGCAGGGAAGCGTGGTACAGAAGCATAAATAAGAGGTGGTTACAGGGACACCAGAGCTGATCTAGAAGGGGCACCTAGGTCCCCTCAACCTCCTGCAGCATAGCTTGCCCTGGCTCATCCCCCTTCACTGCCCTGCTCCTAACCATTTCTCTGCAGCACTGCCTGCTGCCACCCCAACCCTCCCCCGTGCCCCCCCTCACTGCAGCTGCTCCTTTTCTCATCACCAACTTCACGGCTGGTGGCAGTCAGCAACAGGAATTGGTGTCATGCAGCAGTGGATATGGTAGGGGGTGTGAGAGAGAATTCAGCACAGAGCAGAGAAGACTGAAGCAATAGCAGGTGGTCTGGAGCAGCAGCAGTTGGGTTGCAAATGGCAGCCTGCCTTCAGACCTAGCTGCCTTATTTCAGCCAACCTCTGCTCTAGAAGGTTGATGAAACTTTGCACAATTCTCTCAAGGGCCCTTATACAGAGATGGAAATGTTGATTACTTATGCATGCTTACAATCATCTACTTGGATGCAAGAGAAATGAAACCTTTTTGTAACAATTTAATACCATCTCTCAAAAACCAAATACTTTGCCTTTACAGTAAACAACCTGCAGCATATACATCTGCCTGAGAATACAGGAAAAATGAAGCAGTTTTCATACAACATCAGACCGACCACTGCTGCAAAATCAAAAAGCACAAGACCCAAGCATTAAGTCAGTTGTTCTCGACCTTGTTTTTTCAAGACCCCTGTCATTCAACACAAGGCATGCCTTGGAAAATACCAGCTCTTAGGTTTCACTTGTTTTTTTTGACTACGGAAAAATGCTAGCGCAATTCTTCTGTTGGAATATACTCAAAGACCACAACAGGGCAGAAAGGTTTTGACACTGAGGATTCTTCCTATTTGAAGTCTCTGGGGTTTATCGTGTGAATCGTGTGCAAGTGTCATGCAATATTAGACCTGGCAGGTCTAATATTGCATGACATCCCGCAGCACCCTTAAAAAGATCTTGCAACACCCTGGTTGAGAATTACTGCATTAACCACAAATGAAGAGTTGCAAGGAAGAACTTGACAAGAACATAAAGAATAAGCACAGATTGTATTTTCTTTGTATTTTTGTATGTATTTTTTTTACCATTTAAAAGAAAAAATATGCTAAATACTAAACCAGCAAAGGTATCTTTGATTATTGTATTATTTCTTTGTTGTATACCAAAGCAAGATGTTCAGGGAGTTGAACACATTTCATTTTGTGTACAATGAAGCACAGCATCTAAAATCCAATTTGTTTACCGACAGGCTGAAGTCTATATGGCATTTGGCAGTTGTGTACAAGTGAGAGTTAGGTTCCAGCCTTAACTGCTGAGCTGTCTCAGCATGCCTTTTTCAGAGTTACTGGCAAATATATTTTTAAAGTGTTACTTATAACCACATTTATCTACATCTGGAATAGAGGAGTCATTACTATATTTTTCTATTCTCCGACCCTATTAAAGATTATACCAATTTACAAAAGCATTTTTACAGTCCAATAAAAAGATAGTTCACCCTGGTGAAACTCAAAACAGGGACCTGATGAAGAATGCATTGCATTCAAAAGCATGTCTAAATTTAACCCAACTGTGTAGTTGGTCCAATAAAAGATAATCGCCCACGAAGATCCTTGCCTCTCACATTGCAGAAGAGCCAGTTTAGGAGACTAATTTTGCTCAGCACCACCCAGCGCACCAGACATCCTGGCATACTCTGGTACACCCAAACTAATTTTCCCCCACATCCTGTGTGTTTACATCCATCAGTAAACACTTTTAGATAAGATACCAATGTTTCGTTTTGACCAAAAATGTCGGTTTTTTTCTTTCCAGTCAACAATGCCTAAGTAAGTTTCAGCAGTCCCAAATGAAAGTTCTTCAGAGCTTTTCATCCCATGAAAATTTGATTTTTTTAATCCGAGATGAAAATAAATGGGAGTTCTGGATTTCCCTGTGGGGTGAGGATTCCCTGTTACAAAGTAGATGGGCAGAACCCAGCTACATTGAAGCTTTTCTAAAACTGTTAAATCTTTTTTACAGCTTGTCTATTTCCCTTCAAATTCAGTGTCAAAAGTATGAAACTTCCTGTAGTGAGATGGATGATTTCTGTAATAACTGCACTTTGCTTATGCAGCAAATTAGACAC